TCCATTTTGTGCCTGCATCTCACAATCACGATCTCCTATCGTAAAAAAAACTGTAGTCATCACACACCAGATAAAGAAACGTCATTATTTTATCAAATAAAATGTGTGTCATATGTTACATGCATGTTACATCCTGCCATTCCTCTATATTTTGCCAAACCTCAATAGCAGTGGCTACTGGTCTCGAGTCTTCCTGGCTAAGCTATCTATGGATTCCAAATCCAAAAAGAGAAGTCTCAGAGGACAGATGTATGTGGACAGATTCTTTCACTTTGACCACCAAGGCTGCTGTTGAGAAATTTGTGTTCCGTCTCCAGACAGATTTTTCTCCCTTTTTTTTGGCCAGTGAAGGTTGCTGACCCCTGCCACAGACTAAAGGATTAATCGGTTTATAGAAAAAATAGAAAAAAGAATCGCCTATTTAGTGATTGGTGAAAATAATCATTTGTTGCAATCCCGCTCTTGACTGCCAACAGAACATATTTTGGATCATAATCCAAAAAAGTAAAATTAGTGGCATTACAACCAATGATTAGCTGCATGCTCAGAACAGAGGGCAGCAGTTTCACTAAGAACACCAATGGTTTGAACAAGTTAGTTAGTAATTGTTTCAAGCTCTGGCTTTTGTCACTGTGACCTATGATCAGAAACAGCTGATTTCCCTTCTCTTCTCTAATGTAGTCTAGATTGATCATTTCATTTTTGAAAACCAATAGTGCAGCAACTAATAATTATATTTATGACATTTATATACATGATTAATGGATTAGTTGTTAAATGAGTAAATGGTGGAAATGGCCTTTACAAGTGTAGGTGATGTCTTCAGTTTTCTTGTTTTGTCCAACCAACAGTCCAAAACCCACGGTAATATAAAAGAGAATCTGAAACCAACGAAACTCTTGGTCAACTAATCGATTAATCAGCATCGGTCATTTCAGCAATAAAAGCAATGGGTTGCATTTGACAGGATTACAGAAGCTAAAATGTCTGTTTCTGTTTCATGTCATTAAAAATAGCATACTTTGCTGGTTGCACATCAGACTGTGGAAAAGGTTTGAAGAGAAAGCTCTGGGTTCTGGTGACTCACCCTGTGTGTCTGTTATCCGTGATTGATCATTGAAAATGATTCATCACAAATATAAACGATCGATCTGTCTGTCTCTGCGTGTGATTCAGGGGGTGAATGTCAGACAGCTCCAGGATGCTGCAGTCCTCATCCCTGCTAACCTGCTGTTCACCAGGGGGCATCTGATTTACCAAACATGATGAAGACTGAGCCTCCATCGGCCTCGGGGGGCAATGGGACCTCTGGTGGCAGCAGTGGGGGAAGCGGGAGCTCGAACCTGCGGAGTCCATCGCCCCACCGCAATGCCTATGAGGCGGGGCTGGCGGCGCTCAAAAAAGCCACTGACCACCTCAACAATGCTGCCAACGGAGGCTCTGACCCTGCCGCAAAGCCCGCTCCTCTGCCCCGCCCAACCGGTAGGGGCCGGAAATATGGATCAAATGTTCACCGCATCAAGAACATGTTCATGCAGATGCAGTCTCCTGGCGATGAGGAGGATGGAGCCAAAATTATTGGTAATTCACCTCACTAGTTAGAGTTTTGTTAAACCATTTAAAGCTGCAGTAGGTAACTTTTATATATATAAAAAAAACATTTTGTCATATTGCTCAGATTTTCACTGTGTCCTGGCATTTGCAAGAATCCAACGGGCCTAAACAAAAACAACCAAGAAGACTAGAAGGAGCCAGAGGAACCTGATTGCTGAGATCTGAGAACATGGCAAAATCACAAACCCGAAATCCCAACAGGGAAAGAAACAAGCAGTGTTAGATATTTAAACCACTTAATTCTTTCAAATAATTTTGGCAAACCTTTGGGTTTATTGAAAACCTGCCTGATCATTTGACTGCTGGTCATTGCTGTCAGTGTTCTCAGATCTCAGCAGTTTTGTACAATGGACAGTACAATATTAGCATAACCATTGATGGTCAAAACCCATGCCAATAAGAATTTTTCCCCCTTATTTGCAGGTAAAGAGCAGGCTGTGAAACTGTCCCTGCCGAGGGCATCCAGCCTCAATGAGAACGTCGACCACAGCGCCCTGCTCAAACTTGGGGCCACAGTCTCCGAGAGGGTCAACCGTTTCGACACTAAACCCGGTGGGGAGGGTGGAGGCTCCTCTGTGGGCTTCTCCAAGCTCCAGGAGACCAGGAGGATCTTTGAACAGCGGACTCTGCAGGTCTTAAGGCTCTTTGTTGTACTTACATGTGTGTCTGATTCTGATTCAAGACCATCTGACTGACTATTATCTCCTCCAGGAGAAGCAAGCTGCCACCAACCGGATCTTGCTGAAGAAGGAGCGGGCATCAGGCTTCCAGGACAGTCGTCTAGATGTTGTGGCTCGCTTTAATGGCTCCACTGAGGCTTTGGACCGGCTGGATGATCCCCCCATTCCTGCTCCCGCTCCCACTCCTGCTCCCGCTATTGTTCCCGCTGCCGCAGCTTCAGTCAGGCCTGGTGAAGCTGTCAGCCCCACGGTGAGCCAGCTCAGTGCTGTGTTTGAGAAGGGTGAACCGCAAAACAATCTCTACCTCCCCCAACGTCGGTCAGGCCCTGCCCTAGCACCAAAGCCCAAACCTCCGGCCAGAGCGGAGGCTGGTGGAAGGAAGGTAAGATGAATTTGCTTTTAAACAAAGAAACCACAAACTGCGGTAGAAATGAAAGAAGCTGTTGAAGGAAAGGTTAGGTGATCTATCCATGTCTGTCTTTCTCAGGCCAAAGTGCTACCTCCCGGTAAGGAGGACCGTGAGGAGGTGGCAGCAGGAGTTGTGAGCACCCAGGCATCAGAGCTACCAGAGACAGGTTCTCTACAGAGGAGCATAGGAGGAGCCAGCGAGGAGAAGGAGGGGTCAGGACAGTCAGGAGACCAGCTCTCCAACTCCTCCCACTCCTCATTGTCCTCAGTGGCTGTCACTTCCTCCTCTTCCTCTTCGGAGGTCAAACCAGAGTCGGAGGCCCAGCCAACAGTAACTGAAGCCAGGGGCTCAAGTACAGCGGCCCCAGAGCGGGGGCCACAAGATGATAAACAGGACGGCTCCACCGGGGGGTCTGAGGCTGGAGCCAGGCTGGTGCAGGCTGATGTTCACGCCTCGCTGGAAAATGGAGAAAAAGAGCCTCCAGGTTCCTCCCCCTCCTCAGACGAGAAAGAAGCAGACTCCGAGAGGAGAGAAGAAGTCACATGCGCGATACGGAGGACGGGACATGAGGAGAGATGGGAAGGAGACATTCGGCCGTAATGGTGGACTTTGACATGATGAGACTTGGCTCGAGGAAGGATGATTATTCAGAGGGGGATCTGGTAGATATCAGTGCATACAGCGGGATTGGGGAGGAGGACTCTGGGGGCAGCCAGCTAGACGATGAGGAGGATGAAGAAGATGAGGAGGTGTATCAGCCAGAAAGCAGCTGCTCCGAGATCCCAGGCCTCCCTGAGGAAGAGGAGCCTCCGCCACCCAATAGGAAGATTTGTTTCAGTACTGGGCCAATAAAGGTGAGTGAATCAAATATATCAGAAGTGATATCAAATGTTTGGCCCCAACCTGTTGTGTAACAAATACTGCATTTGTAGGTTTGGAGGTTTCCCAGTTGATGTCAGTACTGTCAGTTTTATTGGAGCCAGTAATAAGCGCCCGTAACTCCTTGAGGCACTTCCTCTTTGGCTTCAGCATTTAGTCATGGTGGTTACCAATGGAGTGCTACTTCATTCAAACTGAAGGTCCAGTTGTAATCCTTTGATGAGTGATACAGCAAAACTACATTTCATTCAAATCATGTTGTAGAGCTAGCTGGACAAAGACAATGATTATTTTACCGTAGTTTTTTTTTTTAGCTTTAGTTGTTTTTATTCATATTTTGAGGGCTGCAGTTGGTAATTATATAATAAAATGTGAGGAAAAAAGAAGCTGAATGAATATGGCGAAGGCCATCAAAGTGTGTGTGTGTATGTGTG